GTGGTCCCTGATGCTTTGCCAAGCTTGTTCTAAGTAGGTGCTTTAGACCACTGAGCCATCTCTCCAGCCCCGGATCTCATATATTATCATAAAGTCTTTTGGAGGGCTCCAGGATATAGCTCAGTGGCACAAACGGTGCCTGGCAAGTGTAAGTCTTTTGGAGCCTGCCAAAAACTAAGGGAGAGGCTGTTATATTTGGAGAATATCTTAGTTACTTTTCTCATTACTGAGACAAAATATTCAACACTCAAAACTAAAGGAGGGAAGCTTTATTTAAATCACAGTTTGTAGAGGTTTCAGGTTATAATTGGTTGGCTCCATGCCAGCATGGCACTGCAGAGCATAAATGGTTCTTGGCAGACAGAAGGTAGTAAAGCAACAAGAGACAACTACAGCTCTCTGTATCTCTTACATCTTATCCAGGCTACCTACTAGCAGGTTCCACTTGCCCTCATGCTTTGGATCCTAGCACTGCACCATGAATCAATTCTAGGATCACACATTCTAGATCCAGCCACCTCTGAAAAAAACCTCCCTGTGACCACATGACGCTTTGGGGAGGGAAGACATCTAGACCCAATCCCTAACAGAGAGTTATCACAAGGGCCAGGGACAGAACTAGACAATGGAAGTGGGTGTGTGTTGTTAGTGGCTGTAGCAGTGCAAGGAGGGGAAGATATGTCCTCTGTGTGTGTATCAGATATCACTAAGGAAGGGCATTCCTGTAATCTTAGCTACTCCGGAGGCTGAGGCAGGAGAATGCAGCCTGCACAACTTAGCAAGACCTTGTCTCAAAAAATAAAACTAGGGCTGGTGAGATAATTCAGCAGAATAAAATGTCTGCAGTCCAATCCCCAGCAGCACATGCCGCACCAGCTCCATCCCCAGGGCAGGCTGAGCCAGCCACAAAATAAAAATAAAAATAAAAACTAGGCATGGCGGCACATGTCTATAATCCCAGCATTCGAGAGACTGAGGCTGAGGCTGGAGGATCACTGAGTTCAAGGCAGCCTGGCCTACAGAATCTAGTTCAAGGCCAGCCTGCAGTACACAGTGAGACCCTGTCTCAAAACAACAAAAAAGTATTTTTAAGGGGCCAGGAGGGGCTGGGGAGATGGCACAGTGGAATAAGCGCTTCCCTGGCAAGTGGAAGGGCCTGAGTTCAATCCCTGGTTCCACCAAAAAAAAAAAAGTAAGGGGCCAGGAATTTAGCTCAGTGGAACAGCACCAGCCTGGCAAGAGTGAGGTCCTAAGTTTGACTGCCAGTACCAAAAAAAAAAAAAAGGTGGTTGACTGTTTTTTGAGACAGGGCTCCTACATAGTACAGGCTGGCCTTGAATTTGCTTATGTAGCCCAAATTGGCCTCGAATTCATGGTGATCTTCCTGCCTCAGCCTAAAAAAAGTTTTTGGTTTTTTTTGTTTTTTTTTTTTTAGTATTTGTCAATGTACATTTATTTTTTTATTGAGACCATAATGAATACAAAATTGCAG